AAGAGCGGTAAAATGTCATCTTCTCGAGAATGTTTTCAAGCAACTCTAACTGAGAAAGGAAATAGGTGGCTCTTACAATACAGTTTCATTTGGTGGATTCCAGATGCAAAGTCTTTAAATTTTGTTTCATTCAAGCATTTTAAACCAAGCTATATCCTTATAATATAAACACACAAAAAAGACGGAAAGTTCAGTAGATGTACCAAACGTTATCCGGGTCATCGTCAGCATCACAAAGAGGAGGTTTGGTGCCATCCTCACGGCTCAAATAACAGCTGTTGTCGAAGGGCTTCTGCCAGATAGCTATGTATCCTTCCTTCTTTACAAGTTTCCAGCAAAGCCGGTCAGTAAGGTTTAGCATCTCTGGAACCAAAAAGTGAAAAGACAAAAACAATTGTCATATTCAATCATTCATAGTAGCAACTGATAGACACAGAGAATTAAATCCCTCCCATAAACCCAGGCAGATGGACAGTAGTCTTCATTTCCCAGTTTCCAATTTCTTCATATAAGTAAACGAAATTACATCCATGGAACATACCTGCTATCATATTGCTTCAAACTTATAACACCCTTAACAAAATTTTCTCATGAACTGAAGACAATGAAAATTATTAAAGTGATGATAGTAACCTGTCCACTGCTCCTCCAAAACGGCTTCGTGCTTATAGACGGGCTGTGCTGCCCAGGCAAAGTAACCTCCAGATCGCAGCATTCTGTTGACCTCAACAAGCAAAATTCCATCTTTGTACCATTCACAGGAAGAGAGAGCAGAATCAGCATTGGCTCTAAAAGGAGAACAGACTCATAAAGAGTTGCCCGTATAGAAAAGCTTGGTATGTTTTATACATCACAAGGACATAAAAACGTCTATGGTATGGTCCAGGTATTAAAAAAATCAACATCTAGCATTGAACCATTACTGTACTGATTCTATCCCTTCTTCATGTATTTGTGAGAAAAACCCATGAGCATACCGCAGGAAAACCTTACCATCACGAGTCCAGTTGATTCTACATCTTGAACAATGGATAAGATCAAACGCTTGGCTTGGATATAACAAGCGTCTAGTAGCGAATGCTGCAACCATTGCAGGCACACCACGTTCCAGAGCAAATTGAATTTGGTTCTCATGCACATCCTTTGGTGCAACCGACAATGTCAAGACATCCCGTGTCAACAAGTAAGCACCAAAACTCGCAACACCACAACCGACATCAAGAGCAACCCGAGTTTGTTTCCCAAACTTGATCTCGGAAATCATCTACAAGCACAAAATCCACATGAATATCAAGATGAAGCCGTGCAAGATACATTGCTTGAAACTGAGCTAACCTTAGAAATCTGGTCCAGATACTGCTCAGCCCCGTGTATAAACTGAGTACCGCCTCCGGGAAACTTAAACTTATCCTTATCTCTGAAAATCCAGTTCTGACCACCTTTGTCTTCTACAAGACGGGTATGAGGAACATTGTTGAACCACACCTATCCATCAAATCAAGCTTCTATCATTGACCCAACCTATGATTTGGATTCAAGATCAATATTGCTACGATCAAACATCTGGTAATTTCTCTGAATTTTCCAGCTAGGAAGCAAAAACTTCTACTTGAGTTGAAGTTCACTAAATCTTGAGATCATAGCACCAAACGAGACATGAAAGTTCTGAACTTGCTTCTCAGTTTTTCTACTATATATTGAGCTAAAGACTCGACAGAAGCACCAAAAATAGAAAGAAAAAAAAAAGGGTACCTCGTCGCGGCTTCTAGGCCAAGGAATCCGTGGGCGATAGCCTTTAGGAGGAGGAACTAAGCAATTCAAGGCTTTACCTTGCTCAGGACAATGTCGCTCGAACCGTTCACCTCGTTCTGTGGATTTGAGCTTCTTAATCGCCTCCACGTTATCCAAACACGGTATATATTCTCTCATCTTCTCCGGGCACATCCCGAATTTCTTAACCCTAACCCTAACCCTAGATTCGCCGTCACCTTTCCCCGCCTCGATCTCCGTCTGATTCCCCCAATCCTCCATCAAACTATTGTCCAATTCTCCGACCTCGAAGTTGTCAGACATCACACCGTTGTCATCCACGATTCCGAAGCTCCGAATCGGACCCACCTGAGGGGGAGGTGGAGGAGGAGTTTCCGCCGCCTCCACAACCGGCTCCGTCGCAACAGGAGATGTAGACGGCGGAGGCGTGACGGGGACTTCAATCTCGGTCTGGTTTGGAGGAATCAAAGCGGAGAGGTTGAATGTCAGATTACTGTAGGGAGCGATTGAAACCATGGGGGATGAGCCGACGGAGGTGGAGAAGAAGATGAGCTGTTGGGAGGCATCGTCGGACCAGTGCTTGCCCAAGTAGAAGAAGGTGAAGGAGATGAGGAGGAAGGCGGAGATCTTGATGAGGGTAGGGTTCCTGAGGAGATCGCCGCCATTGATGGAGGGCTTCATTTGCTTGCGTATGAAGGATCGGAGATCGTCAGATCTGCATAATGAGAATTCAAAGTGTTCGGAGAGCTAAACTAAGTAGTCTCTCCCTTAGATCCGGTGTACGGTCAAATACCATTTCTACATTTGTTTCCACATATTGACTATATTTAATTCGGATATTATATTTATACCATACATATCGATATGTTGAATTAAGAGAATATACAGAAATACATTTGATTTGAATTACGAAAATTAACTACACAAATATAAAAATGAAATATTAATTGCGTTTCCAAATAATGATCAAATTCATATGTGATATAATAACATTTTTATACAAACACCGCATTGAGGGGCGGATCTAGACGGATATAGTAATGGGACAAAATTATTTTTATGATGAACAAATATAAATTTACGGGGGCATTTCATGATTTTATTCAAATTTTTACAAAATTTATATAGAAAATTAAAGTTTTTAATTAGTTGAATGGGGGTATACCCCCATATTGTTGCACGCTTGGATCCGCCAATTTGAGAGTGAATATTTCGAATTTGGCATATATTTTTTTCATTATACTCAGATTTAATTATTTGAATTATAATATATATATATATATGTTTTATTCAATATCATTTTTTTTATCTAGATTCAGTTTATATTCATTTCCCTGTTGATTTGCTTTGGTTGAAAACCGATTAAAACCCAAAAAAAAAAAATTTGAATCACCACACCAGATGTTTGATCGTAGCTGGAAAATTAGGAATGGAATTCGGTATTACTTATGGTGTTGACCTTACTGGAAAGAGTTATGCTTGCCGAAGATGGGATTTGACTGGGATACCGTGTCACCATGTCCTATCTGTAATCCATGAGAAAGAAGCCAATATTTCCGGGTATATCTCTGAATATTTAGTCTCACTTATTCGTATCTTCGTATCTGGTATTACTTATTAAGTTGGTTTCTTTGCTTCTGCTTTTTTACAGATTTTGTTGAGGATAACCGAACCGAATCACATGATCAAGACAATCAGCCAATTCAAGAGGACGTTAATGCTTTCTTCTCCCCCAAGCAATTAATTGAAGCCTCAAGTTCAACAGGAAGGTTTGAAGAATCTGAGAGAAATCTACCAGATTGATTCTACAGCCTTGATTAAATCTCTGTAAATGGCAAACTTCCATTACTTGTATATAAGCAATATTTCACCTAACGTATTTTCCTTTTTTATAGACTTGAGAAAGTCTATATTATGTAAAGAACATATTGTGAATAAAACAGAGCACTAGAATTTCTTTTCCATGTTCGTCATGAACCGGTCTTCTTCTTCCTCTCTTTCAATTCAATCTTCTGCTTGCTGATAAATATTTCTGATAAATCTATAGATTTGTCTCTGACTATTATTTGACAACCAAATGGACAGCAACATATTCAGGCAACTTGATGCCTGTAAATGGACAAACTATGTGGCAAAAAACAGGCAAGGCTCCTCTTGATGTACCAGAGGACAGAGCTATGCGTGGTCGGCCAAAGAAATTTTACCGCCGGAAGGATCCTCATGAATCTCCAACCAGACCTGAAAAGATGTCGAGACATGGGAGGGTGTTTACATCTAGTCGATGTAAACAAACCGGACACAATGCGAAGGGCTGTAAAAATGAGCCCTTACAGATGCATCGACAAAAGAGAGGGCGTGGTCGACCAAAAAAACATCATCAACCACAACATACTGAACATGCTCGACAACAACCAACACCACCTCAACAATCTCAACAACGACCACAACCATCACAAACGCCCTCAAATTCCAGTTCAGTTCAAGGTATAAACTTACATACTGTCTTAACTAACATGGTCAATTGTTTGATATATCAATGATTGTAGGTATTGGGATCACAACACAATCGAGCCAGACTTCTCAATCGACCGGAATTCGCCGTCGGCGTCGACATTTGACTATCGAAATGAGTCGCCCCAATAATTTTCCAGTTGGACCAGCTAACTTCATAGCTCCGCATACCGGTCGTCCATTCCAAGCTCCAAGGCCGGTTCAGGGACCCTCGACATCTCGCAGCCAACCGGAAGCATAATCACTTGTTGCTTGCTCGGGTGAAACATGCAGAATCGGATACCTTTCTAATGTAGTCAGACGTAATGTAGTCAGACATCTTTTCATCTTTTGTTCACTTATGTAACTGTTATGTAAGACTTGAATATTTTGTAATGCATGTTATCTGATGAATGTTTCATCCAATGTTTTCTTCATAAATAACATACATAATGATCTTGTCTTCTCTAACTGATACATCATAATTGTCTTCTCCAACTGATACATACTTCCAAAATACATCAAATAAGTAGTAATCCATAGTAGTATATGATTGCCAAAGCTATAACCCCGACAACTCCGACAACTACAACTACATTACTTTTGAAACCTCTTAACTCTTCTATCTCAAACTTCATTTTTTCCATCTCAACTATAAGCTTTTGCAACTCCTCTCGATAATCTTGTACTCCTCTCTCTTTTCCATATCACTCTTCTCTTTTTTTTCCGAACTCGACTTTGAATTTGCTTAGCTCCTCTCCATAATCTTCCATTTGTTCGACCAAAGCCTCGTCAACCCATTTGAATAGATGTGCACAATTACCCTAATACACAACATACAGTTTAGCAGTTGAATTCAGTAAAAATTCTAAAAAATTATTAAAGACATCATTGAACCAATTAACCTCCTGCGAAGAACATCGGAAGAAAACCCTTCCTGGGTTATTTTCAGTTCTCGATATATGCATTGCAATAGAGCTTCCACATTGACATATCTTCGGTAAATCTCTAAATTGATATGATTCTCTTCTTCTCCAAACTGATTTTGAACTCGAATTTGATTCCGAAAAACTCATATTTGTACATTTTTTCAAAAAATTAGATCCTACAAACAGAAAATCAGAAACTACATTAAAAAAACCCCAACTGAATCAACCATCGTGATACGCACCAAATCGATGAACAACCCAGCGGAAAGAACCATGGAGGAAAACCCTAACTTTTTGTATATTAAGGTGTGGGGTTCAAATCTTTAACAAAAAAATATAAATACAAAAAGAAAATGAAATCAAAGAATGATCTTACCTCTACACTTCAACACAGACACAAAATCGCCACTAGAGAAGAAGAACAAAGCTTATGTCTCTCATTCTCTCTCTCTCTAGAACGATGGAGATGAGTGAAAATAGAAGAATATCCTTTTTTAAGTGGAAAGTGGTTTATTTTTAATTTTATTTTATTAAACCGGATCATTTTTTTTATATCATGGTTTAGTACATTTGACACGTGGGTTGATGTGTCAAAAATTGTATATACACATCATCGTCTCGTGACAGAAAAATTTAAACGGGTAACGACGTCAACGTCCTTGTAGGATTTTGCCAAAAAATTGCAATTTCATGTATTAATCTGGCAGTTTACAAATTGATGTATTTATTTGCCATTTTCCCCATATTTATATATATACATACACACATACATATATACATGTATATACATATATATGAATATTTATACGTATATATATATATATTTACGTCTATACATATCCGAATTCATATATATATATATATAAATATGTATATATATATATATATTTATATACATATATATATATATTAGTATATATATTTTTCAATTGATTTTTTCAACTAAAATCCAAATTTCCAACTGATATCCGTTGGAATTTTTTTCCAATCGAAATCCGTTGAAATTCCGTTGCAAATTTCCAACCGATTTTTTCAACCGACATCCGTTGAAAATTTTCAACGGAAATCCGTTGGAAATGCCGTTGAAAATTTTCAACCCAATTTTTCAATTGAATACGTTAAAAATTCCGTTAAAAATTTTCAACGTGCATTTCCAATGGATATCCGTTGGAAATTTCAACGGAATTTTAACGGAAATCGTCATTGAAATGCCGTTGAAAATCCGTTGAAAATTTTCCAACTGACAAATCCGTTGGAAAATTCGTTGAAAACGGGTGATTTTTTTGTAGTGAGAGAAGTTATGAATCAGGATTTGGATGCTCTGTCTAGGACTAGTACTTGGTCTCTTTGTTCATTACCTGAAGGAAAACATCCAGTGGGGTATAAATGGGTGTTTAAAATTAAACATAATCCAGATGGTACAGTTGAGAGATATAAAGTCATAGTGGTGGCTAAAGGTTATACTCAGATTGAAGGGAATGATTACATTGAAATTTTTAATCCGGTTGCCAAATTGACAACTATCAGATTACTGCTTGCTTTAGCATCTTCTTAGGGATGACTTCTGGATTAGATGGATGTGTCTAACGTATTCTTGAACGGTGATTTGGATGAGGAGATATATATGACTCTTCCACCTGGATATGCTCAACTTAAAGGGAAGAAGTTACCGTCGAACACAGCCTGTAAGTTACAAAAATCCTTATATGGCCTTAAACAGACATCTCGCCAATGGAATTTGAAATTGTCTCAAGTTTTGCTTGCTGCTGGGTATACTCAGTCACATGTAGATAATTCTCTTTTTTATAAGCGAGAAAAGGATTCTATAGTTGTTGCTTTGGTATATGTTGATGACATTCTTCTAACTGGTAATGATGTTGCTATATTACAGAAGTTAAAAGATACTTTACGTAGTAGTTTTCTGGTTAAGGATCTGGGCACTTTGAAATTCGTTATGGGCTTAGAAGTTGCAAGATCAAAGACAGATATGTTTTTATGTAAGAGGAAGTATACATTAGAGTTGCTAGAGGAGTTTGGGTTTCTTGGATGCAAACGTGTTGTAACTCCAATGGATACTCGACAGAAATTGAGTAAGGAATCAGGTGAATTACTCACTGATCCTACTCATTATCGGAAGCTTATTGGTAAGCTGCTTTGCCTCGTTGTGACCCGGCCTGATATCTCTTTCGCTGTGAATAAACTTTCACAGTTTATGTCTCAGCCAAGAACGGATCATTTGCAGGCAGCTCATCTAATTCTTCGCTATCTTAAGTCTGCACCTGCTCAGGGTTTATTTTATTCCTCTGACTCGTCTCTGCTTTTTTTTTTTGTGTATTGTGATGCTGATTGGGCATCATCTCCGAATTCTCGGAGATCGGTTACAGGATTTTATGTTTTCCTTGGCTCAAGTTTAGTTTCATGGAAGTCTAAGAAGCAAGTCACGATGTCGAGAAGTAGTGATGAGTTTGAGTACAGAGCTATGACTCAATCCACTTGTGAGTTGGTTTGGATTGCTTCTTTGCTTTCTGAACCTGCGGTTTCTTTTCCGAAATCTGTGAAACTTTACTGTGATTCGAAGTCTACCATTTACATTCCTGGAAACTTCGTCTATCTCGAGCGAAATAAACACATTGAGTTGGATTGTCACTTAGTTAGGGAGAAGCTGAAGTTTGGTTTTCCGGTGTCTACTTTTATTTCTTCTTCTGATCAAGTTGCTGACATATTAACTAAGGCATTGGTTGCGGATCAGATTCAATATCTTTTTGGCAAGATGGAGAGTACAAATTAATTTGTATTCTCCATCTTAAGGGGAGTATTGGAAGACTATCATTCGTTGGTTATTTTCGGTTTATATTGGTTTTGATTAATCAGGTTGTTTTGAATTTGATTGTTTTCAATTTTTTAGTTTTGCGCCTGTATACAGTTTAGTATAAAAACCTGATGTAGAACGATTTTATTTTACAAGAAGAAATAAAAAAAATTCCACACTCTCGCTTCTCTGATTTACTTATTCAAAAAATGTAAATAATTAAATGAAAAATAAATAAAGTAATTTTAATTCTTATTCTAAAATAAATGATAAATCAACTCAAACCAAATATAAAACCTATCAACATCTAAGTTTTATACAAAATAAAATTCTTCATAATTTTCAATATATCTTCGACATTATTTGGGTTTATAATTTTTTTTAACGCAAATTAGGATTGACAATTGTCTTTAGAATGTAAATAAGAATTATGTTAGACGCGAAGAAATTGTCTTTATTTATTTTATTTCAATAAATAAAATAAACCAGAAATCTTTATTACTTCTGTCAATAAATAAAATAAACCAAAAATCTCTCTTTTTCTTTTTTTTTTTTAAACCCAAAACCAGAAATCTCTAATACTTTTTTTTTTTTTTTTACCGAAAATCAGAAATCTCTAATACTTGAAGACGGATTTTCTAATCCTGGAACTCAACGGCTTCTGCGCATGAAACCTACGAGAAGTGATAGCGAAGCAAATCTTGCGAGTCTGTTTGTGCCTAAACATCCAACCGATCACGAAATCGCAGTGCTCTCTGAACTTGTAGTGCGTGTGGAACTCTTTCCAGCCGCTCGACAGGACGTACATCATCTTGTTGCCGGCCCACATCTTGAGCATCATCTGGTGAGCCGCCCCGTCCTTTCCGAACACCGTGACCTGAGTCGCCTTGTTCGCTCCCGGCCTCTCGGAATCTTCTAGAAGGGGGATCAGGGCTTTCACCACGTACTCCTTCTGGAACGTCAACCTGCACAGCCCTCCGTCCAGGTCACTCACCGTCAGCTGCTTCCAAAAGGGTTTGCTGCATTCCCCCACCATGTCTTCTCCGTCGAAGAAGAGCTCCGCCGGCGGAATCTCCGGCGGATTGCATCGGAGTAATAAGTTTAGGGTTTCGTCTGAGTCTTCTTCTTGTCTTACCTTCCTGCTCAGTCCGTGCACGCGTGCGGCTTTCTTCTTCCTCTTGGGAGCTCTTTCGTCTTCTCCTTCTTCTTCAGGCTCGCCATCTTCTTCGGACAGAATCTCTGTCCCGTCTCTTTCCTCCTCGAGTAATATGTCCAACCTAAAGTGTTTTAACGCGAAAGACGCAAGGATGATAGCTCTGAGCTCTTCTTCGTCCAATCTCATTATATCGATCGAACGCTCTTCTTCCTTGTCACCATCTCCCCCTTTTTTGGCTGAAGAAGAAAGAGATTCCATGGTGACAAAAACAAGTGCATGAATAACACGCAGCTCCCTTCCTTTTCTATACTAAAAGCTTTTCCATTATTTCTTAAAAAGGATATTTCCTAATTTTTTTTTAGATGAAATTTGTATAGTTTCCCCTTTTTTTATTAGTTTGTGAAGTAGTGTAATATAAATAAAATATGAATTGCCGAATATACAAATTCTACTAATTTGTAAATAATTTAAATTTCGTACGGTTCTAGATTAATTAATAAATAAAAATCTGTTTTTTAGTTCCCCTTCGTCTAATATCCCTGAATGAAGAGATACGTTTTTTAGTGAATATCAAATCTTTCTAGATTTGTTTTTCCTTTTTTCAAGTAGTTATGATCCCAAGGTTAGTTTAAATTATATCATAATAGGGTTTTACAATTTTACGACGTTTAAAAAATAGTAAATTAATTCTCATTTGCTGATAAATATTCTTGATCATATCTTTATCTTAAAATATAAAATTTATTTGTCCACTAGTTTCTACAATTTTATCAAGTCACGAGAGTTCCGAGTCAAGAATTCAGTTCATATATATCTTTAAAAGTATATCTCATCACCAATAGTGATTAACGAATATAAATTACAATTAGGGAAGAAGACTTTTGAACAAATTGAACTTCCAAAAAAACAGGTTTAACTTAAACTGAATTACATGAATATTTATTTATTTTAAAAAATGTGGCAATAACAATATCGACGGATCAAATCCCGAATCAAGGGGCTTCGAGCAATGGTTTCTCCGGTATAAATTAATTTTAGAGATATAATTATTTGTTTCATCCACGCTTTTATTCCAATAAAAAATTATAACAAACATACACCGTATCGTTCATAATAGTATTATATATATATGGTGATATGATAATTAATAAAATATAAACAAAATAGTTAAGATGATTATACTATACATATAATTAATATTTCATAAGTCGATATCCATTTTAAAGTCAAAATTTAGCAATTTTTTTAAAGTCAAAACATTCCATCATGGATTCTCTGTGGGTTTAATTTTCTTAGGTTTTTTTTGTCCAATAATCATCCGTGTATTTTGTTTTCTCTCAATGTGATTTTTTTTGTTTTATATAGAAAAAAATGTAATTACTACCTGAAAATATTTTGCAAAAAAAAAATCAGCTGAACAAGTAACAGTATCTGTCTTATTTCTCATCTAAGTTCTTAAATATAAAAAAAATATAAAATTCTTATATAAGTGTAAAACTATTTTTGAGTATTCTACAAAATATTCTCAAAATGAAAAACAAAATTTAAAAGAGAGCTTTAGGTCAGAATATCAGAGTTAAATTAGAATTTCATAATTATTGACCGACGGATATTTTTAAAAAATTGGTTTTTTACATCCGTAAAAAGATTGAAAATAATAGGTAAAACTGGTAACGCAATTGAATACAGTAAAAATGTCTAATAGGACTGTATGGTTATAGCAAATAACACATTCCTTAATTGTTTACTCTCTTCCTTTTTCGGGTAAAATTTATTAAAACATTTTTCAGTAATTATTCCATGACAAAGTATTTACGTTTCATAACTGTAAAATCACGATAATATATATTTTAAAATTTTTGTTTTGGGAACCAATTTAAATAAGAAGGGATCTCATCGAATCGAAGGGACGGATATTCGTTGGCACAGCCTGGCACTTACCCACATAAATACGTCTCGAGTTAATGCCTTTTGATAAAGATATACTTACAATTGCAATTAAGGAAAAGGGTAGAATCGTAATCTAATCACAATTAGATTCATCATTGTTACTTTTAATTAAAGAATATAATTATTAAAAAATAGAATTACACGTAAGCAATGCGTAATAGGAGGGAAGACTTCCACTGTGAGCCAAATTCAACCTTTACTTGCCCCTCCCGAAAAGGTCAATACTAACCACTAAATTCCAATTATAAATTTCATTTTCTTTTGTCGCCAATTTCCAATTTCGGAATTCTTAATTTACAAAAACAGAAATAATAAGTGATAATACATTTTCAAATCCAAAGTTCAATTTATTTAATTTTTTTATTTTATCTAAAATTTATTAGCGAAGGCACCTTGTTCTACCAAAGGGATGTGTGTGTATAAAAATGAGTCCTTCCATTAGTTTCTTCATTAGCCAACCGACGTTTCCCGTCGTCACATCAGCCTGACGAAAACAGTTGGGCTCTTTTCCACAAAAAAATAAAAATAAAAAATTCCCAGAGAGTCCGACTCGGTCTCTCTCCACTGCGACTCCTTCCCTGCGCTCAGTTCGTCTGCGATCCCGTGAGATCTTGAGAAGGTAGTGATGGAGTTTTCTTCTTCTCAGCCGTTTTCGAACTTTATCTCCTTTGGCGAGATCTGTTTGCTTGGTTACGAGTTTTGGCGCATCTGATTTGAATTCTGGTGGTTTTTTTTTTCTCTTATTGGCGTTGGTTTCGATTCGCGGTAGGATGGAATGCCGTGTTAGATCCTCCGAATGTGGATAAGGTTGTCGTTTTGGTGCTTGATGCGGTCATTATCTTTGATTCTTTGTTGAATTTTTCCTGATCCTGAGAATTTCGGAATGTAGGTTCTCATCATTGGTGGTCTTTGTGCTAATGTTGATGAGATTGGTTGTATGATGCTTCTGAATCTTGGTATCTACGGTTATGTGTTGGCCTCTTTCGTGTTGTTGTTCAGCTAGTAAACTTGTTTAGCTGATTTACATTCTCCCCCAGAATTGAACTGGTTTAAAGAGGGCGAGGACAATAATTAGTCTGAATATGTTTGTTCTTTTCGGATTTGAAATTGATAAGTCCTTGTATCTGATTTTTGTTCTTCGCTGGATTTGTGTTGTTTCTCTTTGAGTTTTGTTTTTCATTTCTTTTAGGATTTTTTGATTGGTTAGATCTATTTTCAGTTTTTTTGTATTGATATTGGTCGATGCCCTGTTTTCGTGTTTGGTCTACTAGTCTTCAATGCGGTTACTGAATTTCTGCTAGGACATCGTGTGTTATAGTCCTCCTCTCTCTAATGAAATATATGATCACAGTGTAATTCAGAATGTTGGCCAATTTCCAGAGTGAGATGATTGCCACATTGTCCTCTGTCTCTATGAAAATCACTGAACATGATGAATTTGGCTATTTCACATTGTGGTTAAGAGTGACATTCTATGGATATCGATGGTACAACGTCTAACAAAGCATATCCAGCCTTTTAGAGTAAGATTCCAGAATCCGGATCCATTTCTATTAGTACATTTTTGCATGTTACAGCTTCTCTTTCTCTGGTTCTCATGTTTCTTGTGTTATTTTGTTTTTGTCTCTGTAGATTTTGTTGCTTCCTTGTGAGTCTTAACGGTTTCTCTTGTGATTGTCCCTATGTTTCCAAGCCTGCGCGTAGATTCCTTTGAAATAACTCTTAGCGTTTTGAGTAGTGTTTAGATATTCATTGTCATGAAATTTGTCTGGATCTTTATCTCGTATCACGATTTTCTGGCTGGCTTCAGTTAACTGTATGTTTAAGATCTGGATTTTTTGTTCGCAGAAAAAGGAGTTAGAGCATCAAAATGAAGGCACTTATTCTTGTCGGAGGTTTTGGAACTCGCTTGAGGCCATTGACTCTCAGTTTCCCGAAGCCACTTGTTGACTTTGCCAACAAACCCATGATCCTTCATCAGGTATCATGATTATTGCTCTTGGATTGTAGGTTCTGCAAGTTTATTATCATCACTCTCTACAATGCATTTTAAATCTAAAAGTGTTTGCCCTGAACCTTGTTGGATTCAAAGTGTTAAAAGCTCGTTAATGCAAATTCAGAAACTTGATGACCACCTCTTAATCAATCTTATTAGCCATACACATCTGTGACGTGAAATAGAATTACAAGAGGAGTTACCCAAAACTTCCGTCCTCTTTGCATACACTCATGTGAAACGTACTCTAACTAATAGTCGGAAACATTCTTGCAGATAGAGGCTCTCAAGGCGATTGGAGTTGATGAAGTGGTTTTGGCCATTAATTACCAGCCAGAGGTGAAAGAGAATCTCCAAACTTTCTTTTAAAGCTACTTGTGGTGTTCATAGTGAAAACTTAGAGATAAATGATTCTGTCAATGAGCGTTTGCCATTCTGTCTACAGGTCATGCTGAGCTTCTTGAAAGACTTTGAGACAGAGCTCGGGATCAAGATCACTTGCTCACAAGAGACTGAGCCACTTGGTACTGCTGGTCCTCTGGCTTTGGCCAGGGACAAGTTGGTCGACGGCTCAGGTGAGCCTTTCTTCGTCCTTAACAGCGATGTTATCAGCGAGTACCCTCTCGAAGAAATGATTGCTTTTCATAAAGCTCACGGGGGAGAGGCCTCTATTGTGGTTACGAAGGTGAGTGATGATGATCCCCTTTTCGAAGAATTATAATTTCGTTTTCTTCCTACCTGAGGAGTTGAAAATTTATTAGGAGATCCATCTTTATGTAGGTGGACGAGCCATCGAAATACGGAGTCGTGGTTATGGACGAGACAGACGGTAAAGTAGAAAGATTTGTGGAAAAGCCCAAACTTTTTGTAGGTAACAAGATCAATGCAGGTATATATCTTCTAAACCCATCTGTTCTTGACCGGATTGAGCTGAGGCCCACTTCCATCGAGAAAGAGGTCTTCCCCAAGATCGCAGCCGAGCAAAAGCTCTACGCAATGGTGCTACCGGGTTTCTGGATGGACATTGGCCAACCCCGGGACTATATCTCGGGTCTCAGACTCTATCTAGACTCTCTGAGAAAGAAATCCTCGTCCAAGTTAGCCAGAGGTGAACACATTGTGGGGAATGTAATCGTGGACGAGACAGCAAAGATTGGAGAAGGGTGTTTGATCGGACCGGATGTTGCCATTGGCCCTGGGTGCATTGTAGAGTCTGGGGTTAGACTCTCTCGCTGCACAATCATGCGTGGGGCTCGGATCAAGAAACACGCCTGCATATCGAGCAGTATCATCGGGTGGCATTCCACGGTGGGGAAATGGGCTCGGGTCGAGAATATGACGATTCTCGGGGAAGATGTGCATGTTTGTGACGAGATCTACAGCAATGGAGGGGTTGTTTTGCCTCACAAGGAGATAAAATCGAGCATCATGAAGCCAGAGATTGTCATGTGAGGAACCAATGGAAGAAGAAGAAGCAGTTCTTTTGAAGTGTGTTATAGTTTTTGTGTTATGTATTATATGGCCTTTGCATAAGCATTGAGGGCTGTACTGTATGGTTGGGTCTTTTACTGTAAATCTTTGTTAGAGTTTGAAGTCATTATTATTCGTCCGTTGGTAATTTTTGTAACCTATGATCAAACATTTTCAGCTAAATAATCATAATAAAAAAACACCCTCTGTGTTTTGCTCAATCCATTTGTCTTTCTTTTTTTGTTTTTAATTTGTGGAAGTTGATGAATATTATCAACAAATTTGATATGCAAATACATGAACATCATAATAAATATACTAAGAGTAATTCAGAAGAATATTCGAAAATTCATCGATTTATAAGGTGGCAGACATGCTCACTTCTATTTGATAATTCGTCACAAGACGACTTAAAAAAATGCAATTTATTTTATGGTCTGAATAGGGTTTTGGTATCTGAATCAGAAGCTTGTGGCAAATTTTGAGGTACACAATAATTGGAGGGCTTAATTGAAATTTGTAAACCAACGGAGGAATGAGACGAACGGTTCTTCCGTTCTCCTTCTCCCTCTCTGCCTCTTCCCTCTCTAGCTCTACCTTCCACCGCCTCGCCGTCGTACAGCTCGATCCTCGTTATCGCCGTCGGTTGATTCTTCGTGAGTCTCTCTCTCTCTTCTCCTCGTTTGATTTCTCGTCTCGTTGGTCGTTTCAATAGATCTTCGATTTGTTACGAATCATGATGTGGTGCCCATCTCCGAATCAATCCTTTGAAAATCCGCAGAAACTATTTTGCTACAATTTTCTGGATTTTTCTTCGTAGTGTCGATTCGTCTTTGTTTTTCGGGTTTTGTTTAGTTTCCTCATCCTGAACTTGAGCTTCGATTTGAATTTCGGGCTGTTGTTGAACGTCGTAGGTTATTTTGTGATGGGCATCAGCAAAACCGAGATTAATTTGCGGAGATTGCTTGCGGCTGCACCACAGCAGCAGAATCAGGCAAAGCTTATGCATGTATGTCCTTTGAATTTCATATGGAACTGTTGATTTGGTAATGGTATATGTTTTGTTTGTGTAAGGATCTGATTATAGCATCGAAACAACTAATGTTTACATATATGGGACATCCGTAGTATGTTGCTACTTTGAGGGAACAATTAGAACAACTCGCGGAAGAGAAGACCCCCGAAAGACTACCGAGGTTAGTATATCATGTATGTTGTTCTCGATTTGAAAGATTCAGGATTGAAATTTCAGTCTTTTGCATATTAATGAAATGGGGATTCTCATTTATGTTCATGTTTAACGAGAAGGTGTTGATCAGTACTTGACATAGTGTCGTGTGCAATGAACGTTTTTGTTTCGGGAGGAATTAACAAGAACAAAATTGAAGTCTTTTTGTGGTCAAGGGTTTGAGAGCTGGAATCGATAAATGTGCGGAAAGTGGAAGGCTTTTTATACTCCTTTTGAATACAGAGAGAATTGGATGTTTTACCCAAGACTTTATTTAGTGAACTAGGTGGCATGAGCCTCTCTGGTTTTGCGAGTACTTAAAGCTTCTTAACTTTCATGATAAAATGGAATGTTTGAGTCTGGCCCTGATCGAGCTAATAGTTTTCTTATCGAGAGCTATAATTTATGTTGTTTGATATCTCCCCAGATTTCCAAAGGCTAAGGTTAATGAGTATTCTGAGATGATTGAAGCCATTGCTTCCAGAATAGCTGCTCAAGTGGTATGTTGGTTATGCACGAACTAGAAAGATGTGCTTTTCCATTCTATAGTTAAGGAATTCTGGGCTATTCATCCGATGACATCTCAGATTCAAACTCACGGCATGCTTTCCTTTTTACTTTCCCATTCCCTTGGATTCTTATGAGAGGCATTTGATTGAGGAAGCCTTTAAAGTTGATATTTTCCAATTTTTATAATTGCAAGAATTCGAATCTGGCATTGTTGGCTTTTAAGTGGGACTGATACCAACTTTTTCCTATTTGCAGCCTGATGAAAGGGTCTCTGACGAACTTTCTGCAAAGGATTCTACCAATGAGAGCCCTTCAAGAGCAGAAGATGATGTGCGGAGCCCCACTTCTCCACAGTTGAGAAGAAGATTTGTGTAAGTATTTTCTCAGTTTCTTATTCTTGGGTTGAAACTCTTAAAATGTTTGTTGTTCTTTACATTGTCACTAGCTTCATTCTTACCATCAGCTTTTATTGAGGCAGGCCTGCGAGTAGCAAAGAGGAATACCGTGGTGATCTTGATGCCGATGCATCAAAACCAGTAAAATTAGATGCTGCTGCTCAACTACACATTGAAAAACACAGGTAGTTTCATAAACTGCTAAGAACATGACTGATGATAATAAACTAGGAACTCATTTGTTCTTGGCACTGGTCTGATAACAATTCGGTAGCGAAATACTGTGCTTAGTGAAACCCAATGCATATGGATTTTACATAGCTCCGCCTCTCCGTGCCACATCGCTGAATACTAATACCTCTCTTTCCTCTCCCGGCAGAAAGCTTCAAGAGGACCTCACTGATGAAATGGTGGTATTGGCAAGGCAGCTCAAGGAGAGCAGTCTAATGATAAGCCAGTCTGTACAAAACACGGAGAAGGTAAGATGCCGATTCTTCTCACCAAGACCCTTGTAATTTAGGAACAACAGAATCTGTTCTACCTCTACTTTTGGTGGTGTTAAATTAGTACAGGTTTAAACAAAAAGAGGGTATATGACAAGTTCCCGTTGATACCAAAGCTCGTGCCGTTTATCTTTTATCTGTATAAAACCTGACTTAACACCAATCTCGTTATGTTTTCTGATTCGGATTTTACACGAAAGCGAAAAGAAAGAAAAAATCTAAGCCAGGCTCGGTCAGTGTTGCATTTGAATAGTCTGGTTTCGATATATGAATGCAGATACTGGATTCGACGGAGGAGGCTATAGAACAGAGCTTAGCAAGCACAGGGCAGGCGAATGTAAGAGCTTCGAAGATATATTCAGAGACCTCGAAGACGACCTGCTTCCAGTGGCTATTGATCTTCGCAATGACCTGTGTGTTCATCATGGTCGTCCTCTTGATCCGCGTCACATAAAAAAAAATGGCTCATGGCTCTGAAAGGTTTGCCCTTTTATCAGTATATGTATATGTTACTGATTTATCAGCAAATATAACCAAAATTACAAAGCCTTCGTTATTCTCTCTTCTTCTTCATTGTTGTATGCAAATTTTGAAAGGATATTTTAGTCTAATTTGTGAAAAAATATACAAGAGATTATCCCATTTTGATTCTCTTAGACTAGCTATTTTGGGAAATTTATGTTTTATATCGTTGAATTATACTTGACTCTTGGATTATAACTAGGGCTGGACGTTTCGGTTCGGTTCTTCGGAACCAGACCGAACCGAACCGCTAAAACGGTATTTTTTCCGACCCGAAACCACTGTTATTTCCCGAACGGTATCATTTTTAGAGAACCGAATTTTTTCGAAACCGAACCGAACCGAACCGAAGTTTAAAAATCCCGAAAATCCGAATATTTTTAAAGGAAATCTAACATTTTTTTAATAAAACCCAAAACCAAACCGATACCGAAACCGAACCGAACCGAATACAAAAAAACCCGATTGGTACCAATTTTTGTAAAACCGAAAAAACCGAACCGATCCATTCCGCCTCGAATCCGAACCATTTACCGAAACGTCCACCCCTAATTATAACCAACTTATAACTGGGTCGAGCGAAAAATCTTGATACAAAAAAAGGCCAAATTTTAAAATACCCATTTATCTCGAATACCCACAATAGAAAAAAAAGGCAAAATTTTTTGTATCAATACTAAACCCTAGAGATCCTTTAAACCCAGCTCTTTAAGAGCAAGAGGGAGTCCATCGGAAAGCATTTCTCTTCGATTCCGCCATGGGTTTCACTTGGTGTCTCCGAAGGTCAGCCTCAGCTCTGGCTCCCGTGTTGGGTCGGATGGCTCGAGCCCGTCTGAACCTTCATGGCTCCGCAGTCGCCGCCTCCGTCAACCGTTCGACTCTCGCTCGCAACCCATCTGCCTCTCCGTTCGTCCCGCGAGGCTTTCTTTACTCAACGGGTACAGAGAATTCGAGCTCCGACCAGACGCTTCTCCGGGTGATTGACTCCGAGCTCAAGTCTGCTCTGGAAACCGATGATCACGACTTGGTAAAACCCTCGTTTCTGTTTATCTGCGTTTTAGGGTTTATTGGTCATGGGTTTCTGCGGAAATGGAACGAAGTTGGAGAAAATCATGGGTTTTGTTTTGGTTTGATGCGTTCCAAAAGGTCGTTACTTTGATTTCCAAAAAGACGATAGGAAATGCTGTGTTGAAAATTTTGTTGATCATAGCTGATGGGATCGGTTTCGTATGTGTATATGTGCGTACCATCATGTGTGTTTCTCTATCTATGTGTATATGCATGTGTATATGAGTGTCTCAGTATGCATGGGGAGCCATAAGCTTTCAATTCAGGATACTGAAATGGCGTCTTGACATTGCAGTGTCTTAGCCAAGTGTATTTCTTTTAGCAATTCCGATGGATTGCTTTAGAAATTTCATACGAAATTTGGCTGTATACTTTGTAATATTCGATTACGTTAGAGCAATGAATAATGTTCGATAGAATCTCCATATTTCTGAAGTTAATCCTTACTGAAATGATACAAAGGAGTGAACCATTCTTGTGTTCACATCCTTTGCTTCGTCCTATGGCATAGGAAGGTGATTCTCTGTCATGGTTTAAGCTATAAAACCTCTATGGCTGACCTTGCATTAGTACAGCGCGCACCCACCAGCAAAATTTTACCTTTGTGATAGATCTTGTCCCGAAAAAAGAATTGTAGAATATTCTCTTTGACAAGGGTTGATAATCGTCAATGAAATCTTGAATTGCATGGGGATTTTGTTTTGTTAACTTTTTCAACAACGGGCTAGGATGAATTGGTTGGATTTCTTCTTCTTTGGTTGTGGTTTCACTGTCTTCATGTTGGGTTTTAGGCTGAAGACACTCCGGAAGAATTCCCTTTCGAAATTGAAGATAACCCTGGACACCAGACAGTAACATTGACAAGAGAATACAACGGGGAACAGATAAAAGTTGTGGTAAACACACCCGGTCCTTTCACTGGCGAGAATGGAGAAGACGATATGGAGGACGACGATGATGAAACACCTAGCCAGAGGTCGAGTGAATTGAGCATTCCATTAGTTGTCACTGTCACCAAGAAGAGTGGACTGAGTCTAGAGTTTAGCTGCACTGCTTTACCGGATGAGATTGCCATTGATGCTCTATCCGTGACTCATCCCGAGAACTCTTCTGAGGAGCCAATCTCATACGATGGACCTGATTTCCAGTAAGCAACGCTAACCCGAGACTTTACTCCGCCGCAAGCGAAAAACACTGACCTGCAAACTCAACTGTGTTTGAATTCTGTTTCCTCCATTTGCAGAGATTTGGATGAGAATCTGAGGAAATCATTCCACAAGTTTCTGGAGATTAGAGGGATAAAGGCAAGCACTACAAATTTCTTGCATGAATACATGATGAGGAAAGACAGCAGAGAGTATTTGCTGTGGTTGAAGAACCTCAAGAAGTTCATTGAAGAGTGAAATGCTGCTTTCTGTTTGTGTTTTTGCGCTTTCACGTCCTCTGAAATCAATTGGTTTGTCAATTAAAATCAATGGTCTGACATAACCAATGGTTTGGTTTAACTGCAGCCGGTTTGAACCGTTCCGGTTAGCCACATAACCACTCTGAAAACTTTGGGTGACAAATCTCAGATTCGGGTCTTCATGGTGCTTGATGCATGCTGTCTCAAATTGTTGACCTTTGCGCCTGTGGGTTTTGTAATATAATCCACATGATAATTTATTTCTTACGGGTTTCACACAAGTTGGGAAAGGAAAAGGCTTCATACGTACATAGAATCGTACTCTAATCACAATTACAATTATCATCGTTTTAATCAACGAATATAATTAATAAAGTTATAAAATAAATTTACACGTAAGCAATGCGTAATAGGAGAGAAGACTTCCAGTTCCACTGTAAGCCGAAGTGAACTTCCAATTATAAATTTCTTCTTTTGTTGTCAATTTCCAATTTCGGAATTCTTAATTTATAAAAACAGAAATATATAAGTCAATTTTTACCCGAAACCCGACTTTCTGGATACGGGAATTCATCATGCGTGCGATCGGGTTTCTATGAGAGTACAAATCCGAGATTCGGGTTTGGGTTCTTCGAGAGTTCTCTCGCGGGTACCTATAAATTCAAACATTACAAAAATACCCTTTAATATAACACACTTACAAAAGGGAAAATCACCCAAATAAACCGTCGGATCTATTTCAGTCTACACCACCAAAATTTTTTTTTTTTTTTCAATTTTAATCCACTTTTCGGTAGAAAAAGTTCGAAATACCCTTTTCGTTTTATTTTTTGCGACTTTATTACGACTAACATATAACTGATATACAACTAAAATAAGAAACAACTAAAATAAGAAAGATGATTTTTTTGCCACCTTTTTTAGAATCAATTGTAACTATATTTAGATTTAATTATGAAGTCGTAATAAAGAAGTTGTTTTCGAATGGATAAATATCGTAATTCGTCAAGGTAATTTCATCTTTTTCACGGGAAAAAACATGTGTTATATTTTCGGTGGTGTACAGGTGAAATAGATGGGAATTAAATAGTTATTTGGGTGATTTTCCCCTTACAAAAATAACAACCCTAGTTTACCAAGCAACTCATTTGTGTTTTGCGGGCAGAAGGGAAATCCATCGCCGTTCGCCGTTCGCCGTTCGCCGTTCGCCATCGGTCTCTCCGTCTCCGCCTTGCGATTCTTCGTCTCCACCTTGCGAGTCTCTGTTAGTCGTGTTCGCTTGCTCTCTCTGTTCACCGTGTTCGCGGTTCGGTCTTTCTGACTCAATCGTGTTCGCCGTTTGGTCGTCCTCGCCCGTACTTCTCACTCTCCGCCGTTCGGTCTGTCCGACTCTCAACCTCTCTCCGGTTCCATTTCGATCTCTCTTATCTCCTCTCAGTCTGTATTCGATTTCGATTTTCCTGTCGAACTAGTTTTCGATATATACATATATATATATATACACCCCTCACTTTTTATGTTTAATTCGTGAAATCTCTTTGTTGGAATTTATTTTTCGAGTTTCGAATCTGAATGGGTTTTGGCTTTCTGATTCAGGGTCGAAAAGGAGAAGGTTTTGTGGAAGTTGCAGTTCGATCACTCTCACACAGGTTTCCGAAAAACATAGTTGCTGCTTCTGTTTTCAGATCATCTGTTTATTGTTTGATCGAACTAATTGATTTGCAGTTCACCAAAATTGTTCCGAAAAACATGGGTTTTGTCTTCTGTTGTAAGGCAATCTGTTTATTGTTTGGATTTTATTAACTGATGGTTATGTTGTATTATGCATACGTACATGTTAGGGACTTTGTTTTATCAAAGGTGTGTATGTATAAAAATGAGTCCTCTCACTGAATTTTTCATTCGCCAACCGACGTTTCCCCTTCTCACAGCTCAGCCTGACGAAAACAGTTGGGCTCTTTTCCACAAAAAAAACAGCGAGTCCGACTCGGTCTCTCTCCTCCGCGACTCGTCCTCTCTGCTCAGTTCTTCTGCGATTCCGTTAGATCTTGAGAAGGTAATGATGTATTTTTCTTCTTCTCTGCTATTTTCGAGACTTATCTCCTCCGGTGAGATCTGTTTGCTTGCTTATGAGTTTGGCGCCTCTGATTTGAATTTTGGTGTTTTCTTTGCTCTTATTGGCGTTGGTTTCGATTTGAGTAGGATGGGATTCCCTATTGGATTCTCTGAATGTGAATAAGGTTGTCGATTTGGTGCTTGATGCGGTCACTATATTTGATTCTGATCATTTTTCATTGTTGGGTTCAGATCGATGAACTTGTTTAGTTGATTTTCTTTCTTGATCCTGAGAATTCGAGAATGTAGGTTCTCATCATTGATGGTATTTTGTCGTAATGTGGATGAGATAACTACTCTGATGCGTTAGCATTATGCGTCTAGGCATCTACGATTATATGTTTTTCTCTTGCGCGTTGTTGTCGAGCTAGTAAACTTGATTATCTGATTTAATATCTCCCCGGAATTGGATTGGTTTAAAGAGGTGAGGACAATATTTAGTCTGAATGTGTTTGTTCTTTGTGGATTTGAATGCGTTATGCGTCTAGGTTATCGACGTCGGTTGATTCTTCGTGAGTCTCTCTATCTCTCTTCTCCTCGTTTGATTTCTCGTCTCGTCGGTCGTTTCATTAGATCTTCGATTTGTTACAAATCATGATGTGCCCATCTCCGAATCAATTTTTTGAAAATCCGAGAAACTGTTTTGCTGCAATTTTCTGGATTTGTCTTCGTATTGTCGATTCGTCTTTGTTTTTCTGGTTTTGTTTAGTTTCCTCATCCTGAACTTGAGATCCGATCTGAATTCCGGGCTTTTGTTGAGCGTCGTAGGTTATTTTGTGATGGGCATCAGCAAAACCGAGATTAATTTGCGGAGATTGCTTGCTGCTGCACCAAAGCAGCAGAATCAGGCAAAGCTTATGCATGTATGTCCTTTGAATTTCATACGGAACTGTTGATTTGGTAATGGTATATGTTTGGTTTGTGTAAGCATCTGATTATAGCTTCGAAACAACTAATGTTGACATATATGGAACATCTGTAGTATGTTGCTACTTTAAGGGAACAATTAGAACAACTCGCGGAAGAGAAGACCCCAGAAGGACTACCGAGGTTAGTATATCATGTATGTTGTTCTCGATTTGAAAGATTCAGGATTGAAAATTCAGTCTTTTGCATAATAATGAAATGGGAATTCCCATTTCTGTTTGTTCAGCAAGCAGGTGTCGTGTACAATTATTGTTTTTGCTTCGGGAGGTAGTATCAAAAACAAAATTCCGTCTTTCTGTGATCAAGGGTTTGAGAGCTGGAATAAAAAAAATGTGCATAGAAAGTGGAGGGCTTTTTATACTCCTTTTGAATACAGAGAACTAGGATGTTTTACCCAGGACTGATTGATTTAGTGAACTAGGTGGCATGAGCCTCTCTGGTTTTGCGAGTAATTAAAGCTTCTTAACTTTCATGATAAAATGGAATGTTTGAGTCTGGCCCTGATCGAGCTAATAGTTTTCTTATCGAGAGCTATAATTTATGTTGTTTGATATCTCCCCAGATTTCCAAAGGCTAAGGTGAATGAGTATTCTGAGATGATTGAAGCCATTGCTTCCAGAATAGCTGCTCAAGTGGTATGTTGGTTATGCACGAACTATAAAGATGCGCTTTTCCATTCTATAGTTAAGGAATTCAGGGCTATTCATCAGAAGACATCTAAGATTCATGCTCACGGCATGCTTTCCTTTTTACTTTCCCATTCCCTTGGAATTCTTATGAGAGGCATTTGATTGAAGAAGCCTCTAAAGTTGATATTTACCAATTTTTATAATTGCAAGAATTCGAATCTGGCATTGTTGGCTTTTAATTGGGACTGATACCAACTTTTTCCTATTTGCAGCCCGATGCAAGGGTCTCTGACGAACTTTCTGCAAAGGATTCTACCATGGAGAGCCCTTCAAGAGCTGAAGATGATGTGCGGAACCCCACTTCTCCCCAGCTGAGAAGAAGATTTGTGTAAGTATATTCTCAGTTCCTTATCCTTGGATTGTTAACTCTTAAAATGTTTGTTATTCTTTACATTGTCACTAGCTTTGTTCTTACCGCCAACTTTCATTGAGGCAGGCCTGCGAGTAGCAAAGAGGAATACCATGGTGATCTTGATGCTGATGCATCAAAACCAGTAAAACTAGATGCTGCTGCTCAACTACACATTGAGAAACACAGGTAGTTTCATAAACTGCTAAGAACTCATTTGTTCTTGGCTCTCGTCTGATAACAATTCGGTAGCGAAATACTGAGCTTAGTGAAACCCAATGCATATGTATTTTACAAATCGTGGTTCCTATAATACCTCTCTTTCCTCTCCCGGCAGAAAGCTTCAAGAGGACCTCACTGATGAAATGGTGGTATTGGCAAGACAGCTCAAGGAGAGCAGTCTAATGATAAGCCAGTCTGTACAAAACACGGAGAAGGTAAGATGCCGATTCTTCTCACCGAGACCCTTGTAATTTAGGAACAACAGAATCTGTTCTTTGTTTGTTTCCTCAGCCTCCTCCTTTCTCTATCCTTATTCCGATTTACTTCACCGTGAACAATACCCAGAAAATAGTTTTCAACTACCTCTACTTTTGGTGGTGTAAAATTAGTACAGGTTTAAACAAAAAAAGGGTATATGACAAGTTCCCATCGATACCAAAGCTTGTGCCGTTTATCTTTTATATGTGTAAAACTTGACTTAGCATAAGTCTCATTATGTTTCTTCATTCGGGTTTTACACGAAAGCAAAAAGAAAGAAAAATCTAAGCCAGGCTCGGTTAGTGTTGCGTTTGAATAGTCTGGTTTCTATATATGAATGCAGATACTAGATTCGACGGAGGAAGCTATAGAGCAGAGTTTAGCAAGCACGGGACATGCGAATGTAAGAGCTTCGAAGATATATTCAGAGACCTCGAAGACGACCTGCTTCCAGTGGCTATTGATCTTTGCAATGACCTGTGTGTTTATCATGGTCGTCCTCTTGATCCGCGTCACGTAAAAAAATGGCTTATGGCTCTGAAAGGTTTGCTCTTTTATCAGTATATGTATATATGTTACTGATTTATCACCAAATATAACCAAAATTATAAAGTCCTTTGTTACTATCTCTTCTCGTTCTTTGTTGTATGCAAAATTTTGAGAGGATATGGCAGACTAATTTGTGAAATATACAAGAGATTATCCCCTTTTGATTCTCTTAGACAAGAGCTATTGGGAATTTTCATGTTTTATAAAGTTGAAACTATTATATTTGTCTCTTGGGCTATTCAAATGGATGGTTTGCTGGTTATTTCCAAAAATAGGGTAGGAAATGCTGTCTTGAAAATTTTGTTGGTCATAGTTGATGGGGTTGGTTTCATTTGTGTATGTGCATATCATCATGTGTGTTTCTCTATCTATGTGTATATGCATTTGTATATGGGTGTCTCAGTATGCATAGGGAGCCATAAGCTTTCGATTCAGGTTACCGAAATGGCGTCTTGACATTGCAAACAGCTGAAATTGATCCGTACTGAAATGATACGAAGGAGTGAACCATTCTTGTGTTCATATCCTTTGTTCGTTCTAAGGCATAGGAAGGTGATTCTCTGTCACGTTTAAGCTATAGAGCCTCTATGGCTGACCTTGCATTAGTACAGCACACACACAAGCGAAAAGAATGATTTTTTAACTTATTCAACAACGGGGTAGGATGAATTGGTTGGATTTCTTCTTTCTTTGGTTGTGGTTTCACTGTCTTCATGTTGGGTTTTAGGTTGAAGACACTCCGGAAGGATTCCCTTTCGAAATGGAAGATAACCCTGGACACCAGACAGTAACATTGACAAGAGAATACAACGGGGAACAGATCGAAGTCGTGGTGAACACACCTTGTCCTTTCACTGGCAAGAATGGAGAAGACGATATGGAGGACGACGATGATGAAACACCTAGCCAGAGGTGGAGTGAATCGAGCATTCTATTAGTTGTCACTGTCACCAAGAAGAGTGGACTGAGTCTAGAGTTTAGCTGCACCGCTTTACCGGATGAGATTGCCATTGATGCTCTATCCGTGACTCATCCCGAGAATTCTTCCGAGGAGCCAATGGCATACGATGGACCTGATTTCCAGTAAGCAACGCTAACCCGAGACTTTACTCCGCCGCAAGCGAAAAACACTGACCTGCAAACTCAACTGTGTTTGAATTCTGTTTCCTCCATTTGCAGAGATTTGGATGAGAATCTGAGGAAATCATTCCACAAGTTTCTGGAGATTAGAGGGATAAAGGCAAGCACTACAAATTTCTTGCATGAATACATGATGAGGAAAGACAGCCGAGAGTATTTGCTGTGGTTGAAGAACCTCAAGAAGTTCATTGAAGAGTGAAATGCTCTGCTTTCTGTTTGTGCTGATAAAATCTGAGACTGGGACTTGCATATGGTTATATTGGTTTTGCGCTTTCACGGCCTCTGAAATCAATTGGTTTGTCAATTAAAATCAATGGTCTGACATAACCAATGATTTTAACCGTTCCGGTTAGCCGCATAACCACTCTGCAAACTTCCTTTGGGGTCGTGTTTCATAATCTCATAAACATGTAAACACAAACATAAACTAGTAGGAAGAGATGTTCGAGAAAAAAACACTAACATCTGTTTGAGACAAACAGATATGTGTGTGTGTGTGTGTGTGTTATAGCTCCACAAAGAATTAGAAAGAGCGTGTATTAGATAAACCCACTTACCAAAACCTCAGTAACCCACCAAAACGACAGCAGACCGTCAAAACCACCAAAAGAGCTCTACTCTATAATGGATCCAATGTAAAAAAAACCCTCCAAATGGCTTAACCTACTCTTCTTCTCTGTCCGGTTTTTTTTCCGCAACCCTCAGAGGTCCTTTGGCGAGACTATGTTTATTTTGTTTCATACCTCATCGCGCCGTGGAGAGACTGTATGCTTTGGGTCACAATTCTCAGATTCGGGTCTTCATGGTGCTTGATCCATGCTGTTTCAAATTGTTGGCCTTTGCACCTGTGGGTTTCACACAAGTTCGGAAAGGAAAAGACTTTCATACATACATACATAGATACACGTGGCAATCTTGATATATAGGTTAAATGCATTTGCTTACTCGCGGAGTAACGTCAATACACGGAGGATAAGGCGCCTAATATCCTCACGAGACTTTCGCATCGAGGATTCTTTATATAAGGAGACAAGCTCATCCACCAATCTGAAAGTCCAAAAGCACGAGACAACGACGTTAAGAGAGCTAATTGAGAAGAATCAACTTTTCATATGAATTTTTACGGGGCTAAACCTTGTGATATGGGGTGAGTTTCTGATCCATGTTAATCTTACGACAGTCTCCACCTTCTCAAGAACCTGCATGGTGTCAACAGAGATACAGAGAATTTTTATATGAATCACTATTTGTAAAGAAGAAAAGGCATCCTCGATTAGTAAGGATTTGCTTGAGAAGTCTGCATCATCAAGATGGGCGGGGCGTTGCAATGGACATGACTTACCAACAAAACAGTTTCATCATCATCTGCATGCATCCATTGGAAGAAAAGTGGAAAAATACGTCGAAAATGAGCCAGTAGAAAAAGACCTAGAGCATTAAAAAGCGGCTCAATGAATCTTAGCCAAGCAATACGCCGCTCCTTATTTCCCGGCTGGCGTTCTAGGTGGCCGAGCATCTCATTCAAGATCCTCTCAAACCTAGAAAAGAAAGAAAAAAGAAAATGAACGTAGGTAAAATAATAATAGGGAGTCAAGTTTTCATCAACAAATCTGGCAGAACAAATCAAAACCAAAACAAAAGATTTTCTTAAAGAGATATGTCCAACTTCAAAAGTTGTCTGAATATGGTCATCGTCTAATCCGTTCTCAGACTAACTGATGTGAATCCACACTTGCGAAACGAAATGGATCAAGACATGGAGTCAGACAGAATGGACATAGAGGATAGTGTAATATGTCATAGAAAGGGTGAAAATGATCAAGAATATTTAACCATCGCACTTTTAAAATATTATACACAAAAGGATTTTCACCACAACCTTCTCTTTAACTCCCGGACTCAAGAAATGAAGCAACGGAGAAGAGAAGAGAGTCTTTACCATGAGCTACGGGGATTATTCCGCTGGATTTCAGTCAAAAGGAGCACAGACATCTCTACAACATGTATCCATATTTCGTCTGCAGACACAATATTCTGGCAGCATGCATCAAGAATGACATCTCCATACAAACTGAGCTCAGGACCAGTCACGTTTTTGGTGAGATGTACAAAGCAAATCATACCCTGCCCCTGTTATCAGGCAATGATATAACTTCATCTTTTCGATATTTCAAAGTTGTGATTCTGCCTATTCTATTCATCGACTTCTGTTTTCTCTATTAATCTCTCAACAAAAGGGATCCACCAAAACAGTAAAAACCAATAAACAGAGCACAACTCCAACAACATATAGATTTTGCACTCCAACATATTCACTAAATCCATGCCCCTTAGCGTTATTAACAAATACAAACATAGAGCATGCAAGCACAAAAAAAGGTTACTTTCTTAAAAATTGCAGGAATATAGGATCTATCTACACATATGTAAGACTCATATAAAGGAGGATTGATTAATAATACAGACATTGGAAGCTTAGTAAAGCAGCATAACCCATCAAAACCACCATCCCAGGAGCTTACTTACTTTGACTTCATGAGACCAGTGATCGAGTGCTGTCAAAGCACAAGGGATCACCAAGTTGCATAGTTGTCCCAAATGTGGTTTCTCAACCTATCAAAAGAACAAAAACCACCAAAAATTACATGGCATGGCATTCTAAAGCTTAATTTTTTTTTTGACAAATTGGGTGGAAACCAATTCTCAAATTCACAGAACAGACCTGAGACACAAACCATCTGAGCTGATAAGCAGACAGAATCGCGTACCCGACAGGAGTTCTCGTCATTGTAGATGAAATATCATCTGTGTCTGTGCCCTTACCGATCGAACTCTCCTTGATTCTACCTTTCAGCTCAGGCAAAACTTCGGGCAATAATTCGATCACCAACCTCCTCTCTTCTCCGAGCCCCTCAGCATTCTTCCGGGGGAAACACCCAAAATAAACACTCGAAAACTCACGAAAAGCAGATTCGGCAGCGAGAGATAGGTTTTCAGGAATCCATGAGAGGAGTTCGTGATCGGAGGATCGGGAAGACGAGAGAAGGGCACAAGCCAAAACGAAGTGCCTGATCGAAGCATGGATCTCGGTATCAGAATCCCTTGAGCTTGGGCGGGAAGATGGGTTTGGTAAGAGGGACAAGAGAATCTCTTTGGTCGAAACATTGCTGCTCTCTTGCGGAATACACCGTGTTCGTCCGAGCAACTCTGTTATAGGTTCAGATATCCTGAATTCTCAGAAAAAAAAAATTTAGGGTTCGTCAACGAAAAAGAAGAAAGGGAAGGAAGAGGGAGAGAGGGAGATGGAGAGGAAAGAAAGCTCACCGGAGAAGATGACTATGGAGGTCGGAGGAACTGTTCGACATTTTTGAAACCATGCCCTGCTTTCCAATTCACGCATAAACTCAAAAATACCCTTTTAAGTATTAACTATCTAATTTGTTAAAAAAACAAAATTAATATTAAAAACAGATAATGGATTTTTATTATGAATATTTGCCCTTTTTTTTTAAACTAATCCAATTTAATAAGAGATAATAAAACGAACTAAAACTACAACTAAATATATTTGCGAACACTAAGTACTCACATTTCATAATTCAATCTCGTACAATACTCTGATACCATTGAGTGTGTGTTCATATATATATATATATGACACTGATCCACCTTGATTTATTAACAAAAAAAAATGAAGAAAATCTTCCAAAAAATGCAATAACGACACCATGGAAGTCGGAGTTCCGACATAAGAGGGAAATAATCAGACAACCTCTAAACACACATACAAATAACAAAAGCACACTCTCTCAATGAAAACATTGCAAGACAATCAAATCTTCCCTAGTTCCATCATCTACGGAAGCAAGAATCCAAGAACACATACATACGTACATACATACATATATGTGTATATATATATATGCTCACACCAACACAGATAGACACGCAAAGCAAAGCAGTCCGGACTCGATTTGAGTTTTCAAGATTCAGGGGCGGCGGTTGCGGTTGCGGCTGCGGCTGCGGCTGCGGCGGCTGTGCGTTTGATGGAGGCGGATTTGATGAGGTGGTTGTAGCTTCCTTTCTCCTTGAAGAGCTGAGAGAAATGGTGCTTGCAGTAGAGGATTCCCTCCAGTGCTGCGTAGTTTGACGGCGATATTGGGCATCCTCCGTGTGAGCATTTGAAGCACGATTTGTGGTACGACTGGCTCTCCACCGTTACCTGCACGATATTGATGAAATCATGTATATAACGGTTGAAATGACTCGATACAAATGCTTCTTTTTATACGGGCGGTTGATGATGTTTGTTACCCAAGATTCGGCATTTCATTCATACACCAAGCTCAACTGTCGAGGATACTATTTTCACAACTAATGTGAAGAAACAGAAACAGTATCCTTGTCGAGATTCTGCGTTTAACCCCAGCATACACGAAAATGAAAACATACGATGCCATTGGAGAACAGAGAAGGAAGCAGGGCAATTCATAATCCGAACCATAGATGTACTTTGATCGATAGTGTTTACCTTTTCTAGAGGATACACGGTTTTACCGCAAGTGGTGCATTTATCTTGCGTGCCGGAGAACATGCCGGCGACTTTGCTAGGCGTCCTTGTCTGAGATATCGGCGCAAAAAAAGGGGATCAGAATATGGATCAGAGTGGGAATAGATTTAACCGGAAACTGCTGTTCACTGTCACAAACAGAAGTGCGTGTTGTTGCATCGTTAAGAAACATTTACCAGCTCAGGGGTCGGCTTCTCGGCTGGCTTTGCAGCTGCGAGGAAAGGAAGAAAACTCAAGACAAAGATCAAACGGATCAAAGATCGAGATGCTGGACGAAAGACGAGACATACGTGACTGGAAGTTCTTGTGAAAACTGCCCGTCTCCTTGAACAGCTGCTCAAAGTGAGGCTTACAGTACAACACACCTTCCATGGATGAATAGTTGCTCAGCTGAAAACCATCAAGAACACTAAATTTCATCAGCTGAAATACAATCCCCATATCAATAAGCACCATAAGATAGACGAAACAAAGAACACAACGGCATCGACATCGATATCCACAAGATTTCAAAAAGAATCATAAAACCTGAAGCCTGCTTTTACAGTGAGTGCATTTGAAGCAAGACTTGTGGTATGAAACTCCGTCAGCAGACAAAAGCTCCACAGGATACACAGTCTTCTCACAAGCCTTGCATTTCTGTTGAGTGCCCGTAAAAGACATCCTCCTTCCAAGACCAGGGTTCAATCCTCACTCTCGATCTCGCCGATACCAAACCCCACTTGTTCCTGTAATTTTTTCAAAGTCAGAACCTTTTTGACATAAACTGCGCCGTCGATTCTAGAAACAGCAACAATCGATCCATGAATGAATAAGTGGGTCGTTTTCTGATCAAATCAGAAGGAACCCAGATCATATCAGAGACGAATTACGAGCCAGGGTCATTAGAACGGGAATACAAACTGGTCAATGACCCAAAATTAGATATGCGTGCAAGATCAAGATCGAAGAGGAGAAATCAAGAAATAGCCGAAACTCAGTGAGATCCCTTACCTAGCGAATTCAGAAATGGCGAATTCCTCTACTTGAGCTGAAACTTTCCTCGATCAGATCCACGGACAAGATAATAAAAGCAATTAAAAAAAGGGGGAAATGCAGCTGAAAGTGGGAAAAAAGAAGGAAAAGAAACGAGTTCGAGGAGAGAGGGAGAGAGAGAAGCTTACATACACAATGGCAATGGAGGAGCACTCAGAGAAAGACGATCAAGGCGATGAAAAGGAGGATGAAGAGATAAATCAAATAAGGGAGAGAGAGATGCTTAAAGAAATATCTCGAGTTGAAGCCTTTATTCTTAAAAAAATGTTGTTTAATTTTGCTGGAGACAGTGGGGTTCCACTTAATCCGGTCTTTTATTAATGGTTTTTTTTTAATCCGAAATTAAACGGCAAAAAACTATCTTACGGTTTGTCTGGTTTAAGACATGTTTATCCATCCATAATCACATCTGTTTATACTTGTGTATCTGCCTACATAAAGGATGTTATATCGGTGGTTATCACCTGTATTTCCTAGACATACGAACATTTATGTCTTGAGCAGAGGATTCAGATAATTCAGCAAAAATATTTGGTATATAGACATAATGGAGGGATGATTTCTAACTGAAGAACAGTGTTATACAATTGAGCAACGTAAGAAACAATGATTGATGGAATTCAATTCATCAAAACTGTAAATTTTCCAAGAAAAATAATGTATCTAAGTCGAGTGAGGACAAAGACATATGACATCAAGCACTGGTGGATGTTGCAGAATGAAAGGGATCAAAACTCCAGAAACAAGGTGATAGATAAACTTGTTGCCTTCTGATTGTTGCAGAATGAACCAAGATTTCGAATCTTGCCTCCTGCAAAGAGAAAAGAGGAGCAAAATTCCCCAAATTTTCAGGAATCAGAAACAAAATCTCCAGGCTGACCCTGAATCTTCAAAGCCCCTAAAGCTACCATGCCCTTGTGTTCAAAGCTAACCCCACGAGCCGTACCTTAATCTTATCTACAACAATAAACTAGAAGAGATAATCAATCTGCCAGAGGTGAAACCATATGAAAACTGTGTGAAATGATCAAAAACCAGCATCTAACCTTGCTACTTTATGATTATCAAAAAACAACCAAGAAAACAAAAAATGCGTTGTATATAAAAACTTGGGAAACAAGTAAAATCTCCAAATGGAAGCACATTTCACCTTATATGTTGCTTGGGTACATGAAGACACGGACTCTAGCTCCCTGCAATAACCAGACAGAAAGGGTTGATCAGACCATGTATAGCAAAGCTGCAAAGGACACAAAGATATCTAAACTGGCGAAATCATGTTAAGGAGAAGTAAAAATACCATAGACTTTGGAGGAAGGTTTGACTTGAACTTGGCTCGGACAACGCCACTGTTACCATGAGGTCTGGTGACCTTTCCCCATATGCAACGGTAGTGTGACCCGTTCTGTTTAGTCTTTGCCTTGTAGATGTAAGCCATACGTTTCCCCAAGTACCATGCCACCTCTTCCTGGGTATTCACACCCTCGATCTGGACGAGGGACGTGTTCGGGTACTGGTTTGATTTTGATCTGCAGAATCACTAGTTGTTAAAGGGCAGAAGTAAAACTCCCAAAGATCAAATGGTGACCGAGCAATTGGAAACGGCACCTCAATGTCAGGAAATGGGCCATCTTTCTATACACAGAACTAACTTTAACAAGTGAACAATCAATGAATTCAGACGAGTGTACACAAATGAGGACAGCATCCGAAACCTAACTCCGCACCAGGATGCTCAAACGCGACAGTCTCTGACACAAATCTAAACCCGAACAAAAAAAGCATAAACCCATACCAAAGCAAATCAACAGAAGCAGCATTGTACGTTACCTCTTGTATCCAAGGACTGTTCCTCTTACGTACAATCTGCCAAAAAGGAGAAAAACAAATCACAGATTCTAGTGAGTCAAACAACAGTTTCGCCTGATGCAACTCATTCCGAGCAGAAATTCGGCAGAAAAAAAGGACGGTGACGATGTCCATTACCTGACTCTCTCTCCTTGACGACCCTTCACCATTTTCGATCCAAGATGATCTTCCTCCAGCCTCCGGCGAATTAACCCAAGTGCGAGAGAGAAATAAAACCCTAACTGCTGAACTCCACTCGGATAAATATATAGAAAGGTTCTGAATTTGCAAAACCCAAACTTTATTGGAACTAATAATTGTTTAAGCCCATATCAGCTTCTTGGCCCATAAGCCCATCCAGTAACGAGCAACGATTTGTTTTTTTTTTGGAAAAGAATATACGTGTGTATATATATATATTTTTGATACAGTATATCACTCTCCCCAATATAAATTGTACTTGATATTAATTTGGCAAATCAGAAATTGAGATTTTTATTTGAAACATTTTGATAAATTGCATTTTCTGTGGAACTTTTCCTATTCCTAATATCTATTTTTTTGGAATTTTTCCTATTTTTTAGATTTATGGTTGACTTGCAACCCAAGTTTTATTTTTATTTATTTATAATTAAATTAGGGAAAAAATATATGGAAGACATATATATATATATATATATATAGCTAAAACCTGAAGGGCGATTAATATACATATACATAAATCGCTTGTGCATCGCCATCTTCACAAGCCATGAGGATTCTAGCGGCTCCCCCTCTCAACC